TGGAATAACATAATTATATCGTAACACATGAAAAAAATAACAAGAAGAAATTTTTTCATGATCATATGAGTTTGCCGAATAACAATATATATCGATATGGAGGTTGTAAATGGAATTTTTATAGTACGTATTACTTAATTTTTAATACGAAGAACCTCAAAATTTTATTACTTGATTTGACTTGTTAAGCAAAAATGGTTAGCACCTAACGCCAAAGTTAATGTTATTTTATCAATTATAAAAGGGAATAGCGCTTGGATTTATTTGGACATACGCAGACGTGGATATACCAAAAGTGAAAGAGGCTTCGTCATAAACACTGATTGGGTTCACGTGATATATCACGCATGTGACATTTAGATATGTATAAGCTATACTAAATTTGACCCTATCGTTTGTTTTGTTGTTTTGGCGAGTTTTTAGCGTTTAGGGTAATTACAAATAGTTGGCGAAACAAGGTATTTTCCAATATACCAAGAAATCAAGAGATCGCTTATAGATCTCTTACACATCATAATAAAGTGACTAACAAGAACTTTACTGCTATCAGATGATGTAATATTTATGTCAAATGCGATTTATATAATTTGATAAATTTGATTAATAATTAATATTCGAGTGTTCTCTCTTAAAAGAAACTTTTTTTTTTTTTTCCACCATACATCCATCATCTTTTATATAAAATGACTAATAATTGTGAACAACGATCTATTTCTGTAAATAAAATATCAAAGGTTTCAAAAGAACCCATTTCTGAAAATTTCGACATGTCAGACGAATTCACGGTTGAAAATATGAGTACGAATGAAAATGAACAAACTACATCTCAAAGTGTCAACACTATGGGTTGCGAGGATGCCCTTGAAGTTAATTCTGAATTAATTATACCTCAAAAAGATTATGATCCAAGTTTCGTTATCACTCCTACTTTAAACTCGTTTCAAAGTGATGCAGCAGAGGTACCATTCACCATTAGTGAAAATATCTGTTTTCACTTGTATCAATGTTATTTGCATTCAAAATTTTGTGACATTGAACTTCAAGTACCTTACGTCCAAGATAATTCAATCAAAGTTCATGCAATTATTTTATCTCGTTCTCAATATTTGAAGAAATTAATCGAGACCGATGGACCTATCATCGTAATGGACGTTGATGATCCCAACATGAATCAAGAAGCATTGTACATTTGTATCGGTCATCTCTATACACCCCATTATAACTGTGTTACTTCTTCTAATGTGCGCTACGTCTTAGCTACTGCTTATCATTTTGAATTGAAGGATTTGTGTGACTTTGCTAGAGATTTTATAAAGAATATCTTGAATCCATACAACATTTTAGTTATTGGACAATGGCTAGAAAACAGTATTACATATGGTGAATATTCTGAGGAAATTAAAAATTCTATTTTCGATTACTTGGCTGTAAGCTTACCTACCGATTTACAAGTTTTTCCGGAAAAAAGTATATATCAAATAATGAAAGATGGTATTGGAGATATTGATTCATCATTCCCTAATTCTGGATATTACAAACTTGTGGACATTTATGCACTTTTACCATTTAACTGGTTCAAACGTGTTGTAGAATCTGATAAATTCTCTTGTCCAACTGATCTCGATAGATACCATTTTGCTCGACAAGTCATTAGTGCTCGTGCGAAAAGATATGCAACAGAGGATCGGCCTAAGCAATACGAAGCCGTATTTATGAGTTTTGGTTCGGATTGCCCTATTTTAGTAACCAATGAGAAGTCTTGATCATATTGCAGCAAGTGCTTTTAGTACTGTATTAATTTCTACATGATCGAATACACTTGATGTTTTTTGATTTATTATCTGTAAGAATAATTATTAGATAATACAGTAATAAATATTATATCATTGCGATAGTGCTTTTTGATATAATGCAAAAGATGGCACTTAAATTCATAATTTCAAAACTATCATAACGATGCATTAGAATATCTTATATTATTTTGTATGTTAATAGACGAAAAACTATTGAAAAAATTATTATACAGTAAGAAATTCAATATATTTTATATGTATTTATTTTCTAAATTTAATGCGGTTGGTTCTCATGTGTTGAAATTTATTATATCTGATTCTTGCATAAATTTTGAAGTCATCATTTATAATTTCGGAAATTATTTTTCCTTACGTTCAAATCTTGATTAACTTGTAACTCAAATTGTTATGGTATTCATAAAATTTATTACGTCATACGTGTCTTAATAATAACTGCTTGCAACAACCATCAATTTATTTATTTATATAATATTAAAAAAAGAAATAACTTAACAATTTTTTTGAATTTGGAATATTTCATATTCTGATATTGAAAACGCATTGGTACTATTCCTGATTGCTTTTTTATAAGCAACAGGCTTACAAAAGCATCTACCACTTTCATTGAGATCCACGAAAAGATCATTAAGATCCACGAAAAGATCATCACCAAAACATGGACCATAATTAGAATGACAAAGAATTGCATTTTGTGAATCGTTTATACGACTTAAAATCGAGGATTGATTTTTCAATGAAAAAATAAAACTAACTTTACAAGACTTATACGTAGGTGAAAATAATGAACTGATACCTACACGTGTAATAGATCGATCCCACCCAATAGGATTATACCCACCAAGAATTTCATCAGTCCCCTTAACCTTCATAACTACAACTATGTTTATTTTCTTATTGCATAAATTCCAAAATGAATTAGCAGTGAAACCATCTCTAGTTCCACGAAGGAGTAATTTAAATTCGTATGGATAATTTGTTACGGAATATGCTTCAGTTTTCTTATCAACCCACGTTGAAATTTCAGCTGCATGTGTTTCATTGATTATTTTTGAATGTATTGTTTTTCTAGTTACTTCCACTTTTCTAGCAGGTAATGCCTGTATTATGGTTACACGAGGTGGAAGAATTTTTGTTGATATTTGTCGATTTGGATCCATAAATTTTCTCATCAAGTCATCCCAAAGAGTTTTATCTAAAATTTGTTGATATGGTTGTATATTGTCAATAATATCTGCACCTGATATTTGAAAATAACGAATAAGAGGTAAAAATTTTTTTAAAGTCAATTTTAAGATTAGAAAATTTCCTTGGTTCCAATTTTTACGATTAGGTGGTAAATTTGGGTTTTGTGCAATTCCCCATTTAATAATATGGTTCCAAATTTCCACTTCTTTCATTTGTAAATCATCTCGTTTAATAAGGGAGACTAAGGCATTTTCTTTAAATGACGTGAAGTCTTCAGAGTTAAAAATTACGCTTGGATGTCTTGCTGCAATATCACTACTCCATTTTTGTAATTCACGAAGTTGATTCTTTAAAAAGCTTGTTTGATAAGTACGGGTAAAATGTAAACGGAGCCAGGATGAATTTTCTTTAATTAAAAGAGTTTCAAGATGTTTAACTAATTCTCCAAGGAGAAGTTCGCAAGCAACAAGCATAAGTTCGAAAATAAATGATGCATCTTGATTACTCAACAAAATTACTCCACCATAAATATATCTTTATTAATAATGTTAATTTAAAATTAATTTTCTGTTCATATACAGTAAAGGATATTATTGTAAGATATTATTATTATTATAACTTACTTTATAATAATTTCAAATTGTTGAATAGAAACATGATTTAAGTTAATTATTTTAATATTGTTTTGATCTTTACTAATATTTGCTAATTTATCACGAAAGTATGAAGACCTATATTTGAGTGCGCTTGGAATATCTTAGTATTTGGTGATTTTCCCGTATTAATAATTACGTTAAAATCTTCTTTATCATCAAGAAGTTTAAGGTAATCAATCGAAAGTTTTCCCAAATGGTTTATCGTCATTTTATAGTAAAATTTAGAAAACCGAAACGAAATAGAGCATAGAAAAGATTATCCTTTTATTATAATTATATACCAAGAAGTTTGATTGATACAGATTATCGTTATATTTGACATATGATACCTATGGTTTATGATAGGAGTACGTGAGAGCAGCTGCATATAATGATTTACTATGATAAGTTTCAGGTTTTCACTCTCACGCACTCATATCATATGTATGCATTTTTTGCATGCATACGTGTTTTGGCCAAAATCATGATTTAATTTCTTAATGCTTGCCAGAATTAATTGTCATGTTTTGAATTGCCCATCTCTAGAAATAACTAATCATTCTTTCAAACAAGTAAGAAAATTTATTGTTAACAAATCTAAAATACGAGCACTTTGACCGGAATTTGAAATAAAATTCAGAGATTCAGTATAGATGATGTATTTAAGCTTTGATCTTTTAAATAAGCTATTTAAGTTCGTGATTCTGCCTTTATTTTACTTGTGTTATTTTAACTAATAAGTACAAGAACACTAACATTTAAATAACTATAATACTATTTATAAAGATCTTTTTAACCAATTATTTAAAATTCGAGAATTCATAATTTATATATTTAATTTGTATATTTAAAAATACGCTACTTTTAGTTGGTATATAAATTTTCTGTAAATTTAAGTTCCACTGTTCTTGTTCAAACTTTCCTTATTTATATTAATTTGCATTAATTTAATCTTTATTTATTATTGAACTCTGCTCCGATGCAGTGGATGTGTAGTAAGGGTCATAAATGGTATGCAAGTTTTAATGGTATAAAACGCGTTAAATCATGTTGCCCATATTGCTTAAATAAACATGGTCACGAATTCATAAAAAAATTCTTCTGAAAATCACAAACTAGATTTCTGGAAGACACCAGAGTATCCTCGAAGATTAGAGCTTGGTATCTACTATCCGCAATATGGATTGCCATAGAGGTACAAGGTAAACAATGTAAAACACTTCCAAAAGATAAGACTTTGAGAAACAATTAATGCATGAACAGATCAAGAAAAACTATGCGATGAAAACTGGATCGCTCTTATCTATATAGTTATTCTGAGTTGGGACTTATTGTTTAAGATTTTCCTATTGTCAGACTTATTTGGTTACCTATACAGATCAGATCAATCGTATGACCGAAAAAAATTCATGTTATATAAATACTCGATCTAGAGATTTTCGTGTTATATAAATCACAAACCAAGAGATATTTTTTTGTACCTTTTGTCTTTATCATGGAAATTTTGGAAACGCCCATATCTGAAGTCACGGTAAATTCTATAACTGTAATAGCTAAACAATGTAATAAATTTTTATTCTATTTGAATTCAGAAAATCCAGATTACCTATCTTGTTTTAGGTGACGCTATTTGGAAATCTTTCCCGGTTGATATGAGTAGTAACGCGACATCTCAGATATGAGATCTGGAAGAGGAAACAAAATGCCTTCAGCAAAAGTAATATTGATGACAGTCGTCTTCTATCAACCGTACTGAAAGGACGAAAAGTGTGCAGTTTTCCAGTAATCGTTGGTTCTCATCCACCCGATGATGATAAAATATGGGCAGAGGCTCAAGAGAAGGGTTTCAAAGTGATCGTCTATGATCGAAATGTTGTAAATAAAGAGAAGAAGGTGATTTTAAGCTATGAAGGTTGCTATTCCTCCAAGCAAAGAAAATCAGGAAAAGAAAATACCTGTTGAAATTAACATTAAAGAAGAACTCGGAGGTGAAGAGTTGGCTTATTTTGAAATTATAAAAGATCATTTTGACGAATCTAGTACTTACATCCGAATAATTGTACAACCTCCTGCCACCACTGGTAAGCGTCTCCCAATGTTTTACCTCTCGAACAAGGGAATTTCTCTTTTTTGATCTTTTTATAAAGCTATCCCTTAAATCGTTGCAGACAAATTTGTCTGCAAATTTGTGATCAAAATTATTTTTACTATAAGATAGACCTAGGTAATGTATTATTATCGGCTGGACTACTTGCATAAAGCTTTTAACTATTTAAATAACCCCTGCAAAAAGCCACGTATATATAATTGGATTTAAAAAAATTTTCTGATTTAAAATTCTGATACATATCGACAAATTCTAAACGGCACAACGATGATCATATAAGCACATGATTTTAGTGGGGTAAATTTTTGCAGGCAAATTTGCCTGTATCAGCTTACGGTTTAAGGGATAATATTTGGACTTTGATACAAATGTGTATTTTATCAACTTTATTTTCCTATTTTGAATTGTATAGGTCTTGGAGGAACAAACTATCAGGGAGAGGAACATGGTTACACCTACGAAGGTATTGATCTTACTCTTGGTACCATATGTAAGAGGAATCAACTATTAACAGATTCCAATGGCCAGCAAAATTACACTTGCACAACTGTTTGAGCACAGCTTGCTTCAATCAGACGATTAACGGATTTTATTCCATTAACCATAAACATGGAAGAGTATGACAAATTGGAACGAATTTCTAGGCTCTTTCAAGCACTATATATGTCTTCTGCGATCTTGAAAATATAAATAATGAATATTTCTCTTCAAAAAAAGCAACACATGGATGGGGATTTGAAGATGTTCATTTTACCAAAGAAGAGTTTAATAGTTACTTTAATAAATTTTGTGAATCTTCAAATGTTGAAAGAAGACATTTTGTTGCTGTGTTTGACTTCATCCCGGTGTTGTTTTTTCATGAATCAAATTAATAAGGTTCGTCAAACATACTTTTGAACCTTTGACATTTGCAAAAGTTTTTTCTTACCTCAAATCTCGTGATTTTAATGATCATTTCAAGGTAAATATATAAAATTTTTGGACCCGTTAATAAAATCCAATCCGGTTACTTGTAGGTTAATTGTTAGTCCACCTAGTAAACTATAACCTGCAAATCATGTGTTAAGGCACTACCTGTGATACAAGTACATAATATATAGTGCCCGCTCGGATGGTATATAGAAAATATTTTATTTGATTGGTTACCTTTTTTACCTGGGTAGCAGAATCCTTACCCATTTACACGACCTACCCACAGGTAACCCGAGTAACCTGGATACGGGCCCAATTCTTATTTTTGTAATAATTCTAATGGCTGAAATATTTAGACAATTTTTCTAGGATATTCGTGCAATGCCAAACATTACTGATATGTTAGATGAAGAAAAGAGAATTGCTGATACTGTATTCTTCAAGAAAGAGGGTCTTGAAATTCTAACCAATACAAATCCGCATATGTTCAGTAGCAATGAATAAAGTAATGCAAATTCGGAAAAAAAAAGCTCATCCCAAGAAGGCGCCCACAAGAACCAGAAGGCATCCCACTAGAAGTAGAAGGCACACCCTGAGAACAATAAGGTGCCCCCAAGTAGGAGAGTCGAATTATTAAGACAAATATTCTTGTTGATACTAGAATAACAAATGATGGTTATTCAACTACTGACTTTCCAGCACCATTACTTCAAGCAACATATCTTCAAAATAGTGACGCAATCTAAATCACCACCTAATACATTCAAGGACTTCCTCATTTTGGTGTTCGCAAAAATGAAATCTAAGGTGTTACAAAAAAGCTTGGGCGTTGGTAATGATTGCCGTCTATAGCAAATAGAATTTTATCGTACTCAATGCTTGCGGATATTTATGTTTCAGTAGTATAGTTGTTAGACGAAACCTTGAGGTTTCGCACTGACAAAACGCGAAACCTAGTTTCGCCTTTTGTCAATTAAAATCTTAAATGACAAAATGACGAAACTGTAAAGGGTGACAAAACTAATAAAAGACGAATATACAAATAAATGTTGTTGAAAATCATTGAAGATTATGCGTATAACTAACAAAAACAGAAATTTGTAAAAATTACAAAAAGTTTTATTGCATAATAGGCGCTTGAATTGTATATTGTATTATTCTAGTACACTACATATCAGTTCTAGTGAGAAATCACTTGGTGCTTACTTTGTGATCTTACGAATTTATTTTATGCCAGTTATTTGTGCTATTCTATAAGGGCTTTTACAAGGTTTTATAACAACCCTAACGTTGCCTATACATGTAATTTCGAATACTGATCTCTAAATAATTATGAATGTTAATGAAAATAACTTTTTTTTTTTTTTTTAGCAGGAGCACTAGGATTTTGTCTTTTTTAAAGTAAGGTTTCGTCTTTCGTCAGAAGAATTTGGGGTTTCGACTTTCGTCAGAGGTTTCGTCTTTTGGAGGTTTAAGTTTCATCTTTCGCCATTATGCGAAAAAGGTTTCGTCTAACAACTATATTCTGTAGATGTTGGGGCAGTATTTGGATCTGAGGGCTATCAACGTAACTGGGCCATTGAGCTATTGTGAGATGGAAAAAATTGCAAGAACATCAACAAAGATGGTCTGTATGCCTCTATTCTTAAATATGCAAAGGAGTGGGCAATTGTTGATATTCGAAATAATAAGAAAGAACCTCCAGAACAAAGAAAAAAATGCTATTTATGTTCTTTGTGATGAAAACTTTGCACGAAATTCATAAGATTAAAATAAAGAATGATGTTGGCTATCGTTATAAAAGAATGTACAGAAAACCTCGGATATCTATTGAAAGAGTATGCTGATAAAAATATATAGAATTGGGATTGATTGCATAACTTTTTTGTAGCATTCACAGTCATAATTCAAGGTATTGTCAAAATATCAAAAAGCTACAATGAATGTTTGTCATAAGTAATAGTTATTTCCTGGGCAGTTGGGTATAAGCGGGACTTTCAGCCCCGCTTATCACATAGTGCCCAGGACATAA